TAAAAAGATTTTGGCATTAAACAAACTAACCAATCGTGCTCACCAACGGAAATAGAATTGGTATCAGCAGATTTCTGTGATGAGTCAGCACATTGTGGTGTTGCGTCGGAATTTCCGAGAGGTATAGAGGAAGTGGCAGCAGCTTGTCGCTGACGAGCTTTCCTCGAATTTCGACTTGGTCGCATGCCCCGTCTACTCATTCCTTTGAAATCGTCACCTGCATTGCGCTTGCTTCTCTCAAGGCGCATATTCAGAAAGCGAGTAAGCGCAGTCTCCACTTGCTATAAAAATACCACGTATCACAATCCAAACCACTGATGACAAATGAATAGATCTATTTACTTGACTGGCAGCTGCTTCTCGCTTTTCAAGGGCTTCGAGTGTTGCTTCCCATGGAGTTTTAGCCACTTGCTTACCAGCAGAACTTTCTTCGCCAGTTGTTGGTTCAGAAGGCGATGTATTCAGATTAGCAAGAAACTTTTGATAAGTTGAGTCCTCATCAATTGTGCCCTGGCGTCTGTCAACCTTACTCAATGGCGGTGTATTCGGAGTGCCTTGAAACACAGCGTACTCCACAATAGCATTAGCCTCATTTCCCTAAAGGAGACGATGAATTGTTTAGTACCAGAGCTTACGGTCCTAACAGAAGTAAATTTAAATAGGATCGAGAAATTATATTTAATGACTAATGCAGATATAGGCGGTTGTGAATGAGCATACCTCAAAAGTCTGGCACGAGGCTATCGTTCGAGGTACAAAAATAACAAGGCTTAGAACACATAAGAGCAAGACTAGAAATGCTAGAATGCATCAACAAATTGTGACTGAAAAGCCGCATTTTCACACCGCGTAACGTAGAAATCTAAGAGCATTAAACAGACCTCAGAATCAACAAAGACGTAGTCAGAAAATCGTTCACGAAACGCAAAGACGGACTCCGGGTCGCAGAAGTTTATGTAGGCTCGACAAAAATTTTTCCCACCGAGACTAGGATCAGTTGAGCAAAAGCGGAAATAGTCGTAGGGAGGAATAGGAGAACACATTTCCTTAAAATGCTCCTCCGTCAGCTTCGGTGGAAGGTGTCGGATAATGATCTTAGTCGGTAAGTTCCTCATTCTGGTAAAAGCGATTGAGAAATAATAAAGCAAATGCACAACTTAGGACACTACTTTATTAAGGTGGCGAAAATAAAGGAGAAGTCAAAAATAAAGGTTGTGTTGGCAAACCAATGGCTGCGCGAAAAGAGTTACACATCAAAGCCGACACACCTACAATCGATTTGTAGTAATGACCCTAAGGCAAGTACTCGAACTTGAAGGATGCGCCTGTAGTATCCATCAAAACTCTTAAAATTAACACTGAATGAAAGCGCAAAGGACCTGCTTTAGGTCCACATTTTACATTTTCAAGTTCTCTAATGTTTAAAATATGCTTGCACTTAGTGTTTATTGTTTTTATGCATTAAATTTATATATTTAACAATGCTGTTTGTATCCATTGTAGTGTTCTGAGACCTCGATTATGTAATTAAGGGCATATTACCTGGCTTAATACACACGATAAATAAAGTGGAAGAAGAAGGGATTTAACTTATCTCAGAGACCAGCCCACACGACAGATGAATTATGGCAGCAAAAGTGTCAGCCGAATATGTGGGCGGTCAAACAAACAGGGCATTGCGAGGCAATCTCCGCCATACAGGCATTCAAGCAAGTAGATCCCATGTGATGTTGCGAAATTTGACAAATCATTATATGAACTTTGCATTGTCTCCTTCCATCCTTGTTTTCATGAATTTTTGGGACGACTGAGTAGGAAACATTTTCATTAGTCAAAAGTCGCAGCGGTCGGCAAAATGCCAAGGTTATTACCTACTAAGAGAGCCGGTGCTCTCCACCCTGCAAGTGTAACAGGCCTCATGTCATGCATGGAGACACATGTTTCAATATTTTCCCAATGCAATGCTAGGTGATTCGATTACTGATTATCATCTGGTCATGTACAATTTCTGGACTCTACATAGCTTGTGGCTTTATGAGTGTGAAATTGCTATATTTCCCACTTCGTAGCGGATTGTTTTAGGCATGTCAGGTAACTTGTAGGCCAGCTTTGTAATATATTCTGGTTGTTTAAGTGGACTTTTATAGGCGAGAGGCGGAAAACAATTGGAAGCGTGGATCACGTGAGCGAGGTCGAAGAGGAGCCTCCCTGCGATTGACACCTCCTGTTCATCACATCTGTATTCTAT